ACATATTAAATGCCAGTAACATTCAACATTGTGCAATAAAGTTTTTCAGTCCAGAAGAAACAGAGGAGGTGGGACAGACAAAAAAGCTTAGTGGAATTTGGCAGGTCTGGCTTCTGAAGTTAACATTGGGTCATTTCTTGAATTTCAACAGATTATATTAGGGCAGTGTCTAGCTGACTCGTGACAGAGAAATTTTCTGTGCTTGCAGTCTGGGAAATGCAGCTATATAATTATAATAATTTGTGTAATGCAGCAGCATTGCCAATAATTAATTTTATTAGAAATTTTAACTTGGTAATAACATCATAAGAACATGAGAAAAAAGGGGAAAAAGAAAGAAAAATTATTTTCTGGGAAAAAATTCTGCCAAAACCTTCCCTTGAACCTCAGTAATTAAATTAGTTGTTTGTGGTGTGTCATTTAACTTCTCAGTGGTCACGAAAATACCCACATTACCTTTCCAAAACAACATTCCCCTCCTTTTCTAAGTTGCTTTGAATTGCTTTGGCAAATAAGAACTTTACAAAATCACTTTTGCCAAATCTGTTTTGCAGATGTGGAATCCATCATTTAAGAAGTTAAATTTAAACATATGTATGTGAAACCTTCTTCATGGATATTTGAATTGAAAAGGAATTTATTAAAGAGAAATCATAAATGTTGATAGGATGAATATATTAAAACTTGATGTAATGAGCAAACAGCAGTATATGTTAGAAGTATAGTTTTTCAAAAATGTCTCTTTCTAGTTTTTACTAAAGAACAAACTTTCAGTAAACAGTTTGTTTTCAGGTGGAAAAGACTCATTCAGGAGATGCTTTTGTTTTCAGTGGAGTTCAAAAATATCTTGGTTCTGCCTATTAACAGATAAATATTAATGGTATACTTCTGCTAAGTGGTGCAACATAGAGCATAATCCAGTGTTATTGTTTCATCTGCCACTTTTTTACTTCTGGGGAGATACTCTTAGGAAGAGGGTTTTTTTGAACAAAATGAGTGCCCTGGAAATTATCTGATTAAAGTAGGGGTATAATTTTTTTACTCATTTCAACACAAATGACAGACTGAGCTCAGAGAGCTTAGGAAGTAAAACCAGAACTTCTGTAATGCAATCTCATTTATCTATTTTTTTCATTATGTCTGAGGAAGAAGAAATCATTAATGCTACAAAATATTCCAGAAAAAAACCCCAGAGTTTTAATTCCATAATGTATCCTGAGTTGACTGTTATGTGGTATGCTGATTGAGGGTCAGAAGGGGAGAGAATATGTGGAAGCAGTCCATATATTTTTGCCATAATTGCCAATTGAAAGACAATATTACCTGAAGGTAAATTATTTGGGTTTCTGTGCCTCTTTCCCTATTTATCTCCTTTCCTTCTGGCTAGAATGGGTGGAGTTAGATGTTAGTCACAGTACCAGAGAAAGGGCTGGGTTGGAAGAAACTTCAGAGGCCATCTAATTCCAAAGTTCCCCCTCTTCCAGCCAAGGTTAGGGATGCCACCCACTAGACCAGATTGCTTAGATCCTTGTCCAACCAGGTGTTGAAGATTTCTAGGGATGTGACATCTACAGCTTCTCTGAGCAACCTGTGCCAGAGCCTCACATTGTCACAGTAAAGGATTCGTTCCTAATTTTGATCCTAAATCTCTCCTCCTTTAGTTTAAACTGTTGCCCCTTGTGCTGTCACAATCTGCTTGTATAAAAATCACTTTCCATCTTTTTTACAAGCCCTTTTAATGCCTTCTTCTTTGCTGTCTGAGCAAACCCAACTCTCATCCTGTACTCACAGGAGTTGTGCTCCAGCCTTCTGATCCTCATTGTTGCCTCCTCTGGACTTGCTTCAACAGGTCCATGTCCCTTTTATGCTGCATGCAGTGCTCTGGGCGGATCAGAGCAGAGCAGAGCAGAGGGGCAGAATCCCCTCCCTGCTCTGGGAGGCTCTGGATGCAGCCCAAGACATGTTTGGCTGTCTGGGCTGTGAGTGCTCACAGCTGGGCATATACAGCCAAAGAATCAGTTAGGCTGGAAAAGGCCTCTGGGATTCATTCCAGCCTGTGACCCATCATGATCAACTAGACCATGGCACTCAGTGCCATGTGCAGTCTTACCTTAGACACTTAGTGCCATGTGCAGTCTTTCCCAAAACACTTCCAAGGATGTGACTCTACCACCTCCCTGGGCAGCCCATTCCAGTGTCCAATAATCCTTCCTGTGAAGAAATTCTTCCCAATGTCCAGCCTAAGCCTCCTTTCTTTCCAGAGAAGGTATGTCCCCAAGGTCCTTCAGTGATCCCTGCTTCTAGTCTCTCACAGGTCTGAAGGAAAATATAAAACACGTACTTAGTTTACAAATGACTCCTGGTGTTTTTGTTGGTGGTGATTCAGTCAGAAACCATGCTAAGCTGAAATTTTGCAAATGGTATTATAAGATGTGTTTGCTGTAATGTGTCCATTTTAAAATAGGAAATATTTCCATAAAGAATAAAAATACTTAAAAGGTCTTATGTGAAATAAGACATTACAGAGCTTAGTCTCAGCTGAAGAATTAAGGCTCTCTGGGAGTGATTGACAAATTCGTAACCGTGGTTACAAATAATATATAGGTGGTTTCTTACAAGATACTTTAGTATAATTTTTTTTCATTAGATCCAGTAGCAGCAAGGCAACAGCAAACGCATGCTCAGTTTGGGGACATTACGAAAACACTGAGGGAATATTGTATATATAGTGTAGGCTATGTGGGCATTTTTGACAGGGCATGTAACTCATGTGTGGGAATACGGCCAGCTGTCTGCAGTGGAAGCAGCAGTTCAGAGAACTTGGATTTTTCAACTGACCTGCTGATATTACAGCTGATTTAGGGCTCATACTTCTTTTAATGTGTTTTATAAGGAATAAGAATATACAAGTGCTTCTTCTTTCTTTACAGTGGAAAGGTAAAATGATAAAAAGGTTTCAATATGCTCTTAGTGTAGCAAATTTTTGAGGTTTTGACAGGTTTTTGAGGACGTTGAGCCCTAACGGACGTTGAGCAGGGTTTAGAAAAGTCATTATATGCCAACAGAAATAAAGAATTAGAATGGTAAAGGATTCTCAAGAGATTTTTTTCTGGAATTACATCTGAGATGCTGTGAGGCATTTGAAATGAAAGGGCTCTGAAGTTCCCTGCACATAACTGTGTTACCAGGTGCACTACCTGAGAAGGTGTGTGCCAAGGCAGTCCTTGGGAACTTGAACTGTAAAAGAGGACAGAGCTGTTCAGTAGGAGATGGTCACCACTGAAGGAAGAAGAGAAGCTGAAGGTGCAGAACTGATTTTGGAGGGATTGAGTATTATGAAGGAAGGGGAATGGAAAAAGACTCAAGTTTTGAGCAGCTGTTACAGTGGGAGAAAGCGTGAATGAAAGGCAAGAGACTAAGATGGTTATTGACCACACAAGGAGATGAAAAAGGGAATGTCAGAATCATATAATTATTGAGGGTGAGAGCAATTTCTGAAGATCTTACAATAAACCTAATCATAATTGCAATATAGTGCATAATTTAAAATAAAAATAATAGTTAAAACCATCAAACAACAAACCTGCCAAACGCTTGAATGTCTTGTGCTAGAGCTCCAAATACAGCAGTGACGTGATGCCTTACACATAAGAGATTTGCAGACTTTTGAAAATGAAACTAACCTTGACTTTATTATGGAACACTGAAGATTAATTCTTCTTATTCATTCTAACTTACAATTACTGATTTCTCATTACTGTCATTAAATGTGCAGTTGATTGTAACCTCTCTGAGGTATTTCCAGCTTATTTTCTTGTCTGTTTAATTCTAGAGTTATTTATATATCAGCTCTGTGGCCTGTCTGGTCCTGTAGTTCTGATGGAAGTTCCTAATGTATTGCTGTGGTATCTTGTCTCATTCTGGAGCAATGGCAGCCTCTATTAAAGATGTATTTGCTTTGCTAGACACCAGTGAATTATGTGCTTTTGGATCACAGGCAGTGTTTGTATAGTCTAAATAAATGAGGTTGCCTTGAGAACCTTGAGACTTTTTCTTTCTAAATGAATGATCTTCCTTTGCCAAATTCTGAAATTCTTCTCTGCATTAGATGCCAGAAGAGTTTTGAATTTTTATATGGAAAGACCTCAACATATTAAATGGACAGAAAACATTTGTATCTAAGACAGTTTAAAGGGTCCACCTGTATCTAGTGTTTTAGTTCTCTCTTGTTTGGATGTTTTTCTGTATCTAAGGAACAGTGAAGATCCAGGCAGATACTCCTTTTCCATTAAGAGAAAGGATATATTTGTTTTGCTGATAATGTGGGAAAAACTCAACCTGAAAAAACAACAAATTAGTCTTTCTGAAATATTTGAAGAACATTTTTATAACAGAACTCTTAACACCTTCAGGATTAGTGGAAGAGAACTACAATAATATTACAAATAATGTTTACAATACCTCTTAGAAGTAAAGTGTGAAGAATAATCAGCCAGTTGAAAGCAGAATATTCAGTTGTTGTTATGTCCGAATAGTTAAGAAATCTGTTTAAGTTATGAATTTGTATAAGCATTCATGCCTATTTCCTGAAGTATTCATTCTTTGTAGAGGACTGAATACTTTCCTCTTCCTGACTTCCAGTGGCAGTGGAGATGATGTAGTACCTGTGTATTGACTTCTTGTTATCTTGCAAATTCTATATCTTGATGTACTTACATGAGAGTTTTGGGGAAAAGTGTTTTGGTTTGGGTTTTTTTTTTTTGTTTTGTTTTGTTTGTTTTTAATTATTTTTTAACTTCAGATGCATTTTAATGTACACGATGTTTCTTATTAAAAAAAGTTGTCCTCATAGCTTAAATGCTATTTTGCCATTACAGCTTAATTTAAACAACATTATATGACATCTGTGCTGGAAAAGGTGCTTGGTTTTATCACAAGAAGAATAATTTTATATGTATTAACATTATTTAAACAACTGTTTATTTAAACTATTTTTTCAGAACTGTGAGGACTTGGGATGTTAACAATGAAAAAAAGCACAAAAGCGTATTTAAGCCACGATCAGTTCAAGGTAAACGAGTGATTCCTACAACTTGCACGTACAGCAGAGACGGCAAACTTATTGCAGCTGGCTGTCAAGATGGCTCTATCCAGATCTGGGACAGGAATATGAGTGTAAGTCCAGTATTTGATAACAATATATGCTTCTATTATTTTGAGTGTGAACGTTGAAACAGATAAAAGCAATTTTGGCACTTTTATATTTTTATTTATTCCCTCTCCCTCTCCCTCTCCCTCTCCCTCTCCTCTCCTCTCCCTCTGTCCTGAAAACCAAATAACTCGTAGGCGTGTCTTAATATTTCTTCTGCCTTTCCACTGATCATTAAGTGTGCTGCTACTGAGTTCAAAGGTTGGGAAAACTCTTGACAATCTGTATTTTAAAAAAAATTTTTAAAAAATTGACCGCATATCTGTATCTAGATTATTATTCACTTAAGATGGAATGGTTGTGAGAAAAGCTGTAATTTTTTTGTTATTATATAATTTATTTGATTTATTGAATATATTGAGGAGTGAGTCTTAAAACTTGTTACTGAAATCAGTCATTAATCCGTATAATAAGTAGAGAAGAATAGCATCCACGTGGGTGAGGATATGGCCAATGCTGCACATTAAATGGTAAATGTTGTTATAGTGTCTAATGTGTAAAAATTAACATTGAGGCAAAATTTGAACATTTATGTAAAGGCATTGTGGTCAGAAAGAGTCAGAATGGAAACTATTTCAAACTTATCAAAATTAGGAAATATTTCTGTTCATATTGAACTAAACAATAAATTTCCAGTAGTTATGACTTGAACTGACAAATGTAATTCTTGCTACCACTTTATAATTTGAAGCTTAGAGCATTCAGTGCTCACTGTTGCTTTGTGTAGTATGGCTTACAAACCAGTCCAGTTCCGAGAGTTTAATTATGCAATGTCAAGTGCAGATTCACCAGGCTAAGCTTTACTGCTTTGAAAAATAATCATCCTAGTAAGTCATCCATATGCTCTCTTTATGCCCATCTTATGTGAAGAAGATTCGGTGGGATAAGTACCAGTGGCATGCATTGGAGGAGAAAATGGAAATAGGCTCAATTTTTTTTTAAAGCCAAAATGAGAATACAGAGTAAATGAGGCAGGAAGAGCAGGATTGTGAAACTGGTGTGATAAATCTCTGAAAGCTGTACAACTCCAGTAGGATGGCTTTGTGGAAGTAAAACTGAACTAGTGCAGATTACATTAGTCTGTTCATATTTCAAAATATTTGATTTTAAAAAGGAAAACAGACAATCTGGGCAGCTTTTTGCAAAGATTTAGAAAGATCTGATTGCTAGAGGCAGGAGGAAATGTATAGATTTAAAAGGAAAAGAAAGCCTGTGGATCATACTTGAAGTACAGCCTGTATTTTGGGATTGTAATCTATTTTTATTTCTGTTTTTATTTCCACTATAAACCTAGTAAAACTTCCTAATGGCATGAAGCTTGAGAATTCATCCTAAGTGTAAACTTATTCTAACAGAGTAATAAATTTTTCAGAGACTGGCTTTCATCACCTGTGTATGTTGTTTATTTTAACATATACAGTATTGAAATATTAAGCTTTCTGGTGTAGTTTTAACAATAGTACTCTTGGTAGTCTGCTTTTTCATGTGCTTTTCCTTTTGAACTTTCCTCTGTCTGTAAGATGACATATTGCAATGCTGATTGAGTGCAGTTTAAGGTGATTATGAGTAATTTAAAGATATATCCTGTGCATCTTGTGCAATTTCCAATGGGTGACCCCTGTATAACAAGGCAAGACTAAAGTGATTTTCTAGTGGAAGTTAAGTTCATGGTGTTCCTGGGTTTGTATTTTTAATGTCTAAAGAATTTTTGTCTTTGCTTTATTGGTTTCATTAAGCATGCAAGATTTTTGTGTAAAGGAGCAAGTAAATTGGATTTTTAGTGGTATTCTTACCTATGGCTGCTGGTGTTCTCTGGAGATCCCTGTGTTTCAAAAGGCATCTTTATTAAACAATTAGAAAAAGCCTTCATCTTGTATTTGGGGATGGGGAAGGGATAAGAAAAAAATTTTCAAATGGACCATGTGTTCAACACAACAGCTAGAAAGAGGATGAGACTGACTCCTGCAGTGGAATGGTGAAAGCACTTACTGTCCTGACAGAATACAGAGATGCTTGCAAAGGCGAAGAAGAACATGCCAAGTTATTACAAATTGTTGTGGTTCTTGGGTTATTTGTTGTGGTTATTACAAATTGTGTGTGACATAGGAAAATGGGTAAAGCTGTGGAGGATTGAGGTGTGAGGGTTAAACTTCTTGAAGAAATATATATTAGAAATATTAACTTCTGATTTTTGAAAAGAAAGCTGTAATTCCCATCCAGCAAATGTAGTTTGGTTCTGTTAAAACAAGAGTGGAGCCATATATATACACATATTTTGTTGTGCTGCAGTACAACTGGCTTTCAAGTCAAAATTAAGAGAGCATTTGTGTTTATCTTGACAAGGCACTATTCAGTAAGTAGCAAAATTCACTAGTGTTTGAAAGCAGAAAATAATTGCCATATTTTCTTACTCTTGATCAGTTTGGAATGATTCTGTCATCACTATTTATGCTGTGTGCTTGGTCCTTATGCAGCTGGAAGGAGAGATTCAGGAAGGTATTTAAAATTGACTGTTGTTTATTTGACTGTATTGTCTTGAAGGGATGACCCTATAAACGCCTGTTGTGACTGTCTGAATTTGATTTTGCCTTTGTGCAAGAAAGTAAATGATATTTCAGCCCTGATCTTGAGTGCCTAAACCACTGCTCCTGCATATGACAGTAGCAGCACAAATGAAATCCATGAGGATTGTCCATCCGCATCTTACGGCTTACGCTTGATACACACCTGTAGTGCCTGTTGTCCTGGTCATCTGTGAAGATTTTTAGATGCATTTATTTTTGAGTTGAGTGCAAACTACTGTCAAACACAGACCTTCTAGAGGGGGAGGTTTCTGTTTGCTTCTGTGAAAATGTAAAGTCCCTGCTTTTCCACAGAAAAAGGCTCATCAGTGCAGCACAGGATCACGTGATAGGTCAGGTTGGAAAGACCACTGTGGGTCATGTGGTCCAACCCCTTTGCCCAAGCAGGACCATCCCAGAGCTCGTGGCACAGGATTGTGTCCAGATCATTGCTGGATATCTCCAGTGGGGGAGACTCCACAACCTCTCTGGGCAGCCTGTTCTAGTGCTTGGGCATTGCACAGTAAAGAAGTTCTTCCTCATGTTTAGGTGGAACTTCCTGTGCATCAGTTCCTGCCCATTGCCTCTTGTCCTATAAAAGTATGAAGCAGCAGTTCCAAGGGCAGAAACGAATATCCCGACAGGAAAAAGGGTCTGATGATGCCCTTTCAAAGAGCAAAAGGGGCACTCACTAGAAGCAGTCATAGTTGCACAGTGTTCGTGGGAAGCCATCACTGTACCACTTTGCAAGACAGAAGCTACCCCACAAATCTCCGTTGCCACTGTAGTCATAGTTTCTGTCTGCTGGTATAGGTTTTTTTATTCACTGCTTCACACCACAGACACATCACCTGTGTTCTACACTGCTCCACAGTGTACAACTTGGTCTAGAATGGTATTTTAAAATAATTTTTGATTTTTAATTTAGAGGAAGACAGGTTCTCTATGTCATATTTTATCCATCCTGCTGAAGTCAAAGTAGTTGTTTGTTGTAAATTATCTTCATCAATTAGTTGGTCTTTTTCTAAGCTACTTTTGAACCATCACAGTATCTGCTTTTTTATTTTTGCGGGGGTTTTTTTGGTTTTTTTTGGTTTTTTTTTTTTTTTTGTTTTGTTTTGTTTTGTTTTGTTTTGTTTTTTTGTTTTAAATTATGTTGCTGTGCCTAGGGAGGGATTTTAGTGTATGATCAATTCACTTCTGACTAGTAATGAACACCACGAATGTTTCATTCAGTTTTTTACTTCCACTATTATTTTGGTATGATTCCAAATCTCCCAGCTGTATGCAGTGAGAGTAAAAACACTTTTGGAACTTCTGGAGGAAGATTTTTTTCTTCCTCCAAACTGACATTGGTAATTTGCTAATGCTGAAGTTAGCCAAATGCATTCCAGCTCTGCCTTGCTTTTTTCCAAACTTCCTCAGCAGGATCATGATCCATTATAATCACCTGCCTAAGAGGATTTTTTTTGTTTTGTCATAAATCTGTGTTATTTTCTCACGTGTGTTATTTTGTCAGTGCATGCTTTTTCTTTAAGGTTCACGTACATGTGCATTTACAGTGCGCATTAGCAGAGCAATCTGTCAGACTATTTGAAATATTATGAACACTGTCAACTTGGCTTAAAATAACAGCTTCAAAGGATGTAAAAAATAACTTCCTTCAAACTTTGAATGAATAGTGGAAACAACAGTGTGAAATAGTCAGTTATAACACAACATATTAGAACACTCTCAATTTAAACGTTCTGAGATGTGGGGAAAAGTGTCTGGCAAATATGGAGAGTTGAAGAGCATTAGTGGTCAAAATAAGATGGGGCCTGAAAAATTATTGGTTCACTGGGCAGTGCAGTAAAACCACTAAGTTTACCTGCAGTTCAAGTAAGTTCAAATTCCTCATCTTGCCTGCACTTGTCCAACAGAGCTTTTTGCTCTGTTGGTAGAAGTATATATTTCTGAACAAACTGATCCATGGAGTCAGTCTTCAGTGTCAAGAATGCAGAGTGTCTTGCTATCAGTAAACCTTTGTGTGCCTGATATTCCTGTCCAGGAATGAGAGTATCTCATTCATACAGATAGGGAAAGAACAAAGTCATTTTTGAAGCATGTTGTGAGTTAAAATTCAAGTCTCTTCAATGAACAGAAAATCTCCCCTCATTTTCCACAATAAGCAGGATTGGATTGAGCTGTTTTTCATTAGTTACAAATAGGCTTTTTTGGGGTAAAAAAGCTAGACTTCTTAGTTAGCCTTTCTTAATCTTCCAAACCTCCTGATGAGGCTACCTGTTACGTGAATTTTTTTCCTCCAGCTTTTCCTGGGTGTGTTCAGCACAGAACTGCATAAACAACTTCTCTGTGTATGACAGGCTGAATCATGTTTCACAGTTTCACACATCACCGATTTT